GTTATTGGGTGGCGTTGACTAGATAAGCATGTTTTAGTTCACTTTTGTTGTTTTTTTTTTCTAAATTTTAAAAATAAAATAAACCAAAAATTTTTATTGTTATTATTTATGACGCCGCCGCCGCCAGCCCCCACCCACCACTTGAGATGGCAAATTAATTTTCGAGGTAGGTAGGTAGGTAGATATTTATACCCTAACCCAACATCGCAAGAAACGCAGACAAATAAAAAATAAAAACCTCCACCCACCCACTTTGTGAAATGGATCCTTTATTGTTTTGAGTATTTTTTTTTTTTTTTATTTTATTATTTATTTATTTTTATTATTTAAACAATACGGCATAACAACACACCTACCTACACCTCTACCACCTACAAAAAAAAAATAACAACAAATTCCTTCCTATTTGTATTTGGTCTTCGAACGCAGAGAACGCAAAAATACAAACAGCAAAGAATACAAGAATAAAATTCGCAAGAAACAACAACAACAATGACAACAACAACAATCTTTAATTTGCGTATTTAATATTCCGATCAGGCCAACGTATCAGCCAAGCAAAAGCCCCTTCCTTCAGAGCGAAAAGACATTCCTTTGGCATGAATCGGCTGGGCAAACGCATTTCCTAGAAATCGAAGACAGAAAGAATCAACGAACTGACGAAAAGACCGACGGGCAAACTAATCGCCAATTTTGTTCTTCACTCCTCTTGGACGATAGGCAGTCAGTCAGCCAGTGAGTAATCAGCTGGCAGCGAACAGCGCTGCCATGTAATGTTGTTTTGTTTTTTTTTTTTTCTCTCTTCTTTTTTTGTTTTGCTTGTTTGAGAGATTATTTTCAGGAATACATACAAACGAAGCAAACTTACACACACACACACACTGCGAAACATCGAAGACCGACTTATTGTAATAACGAAAGAAACCTGATAACAAAACAAAAATTTCAAAAAAAAATATACTCCACAATTTTAATGGGCCTGGAATTGGGTTTCTAATTAATGGAAGAAGAGGAGAGGGGGGGACAACGTTAATGGGCTATTTTGGCGATTTTCTAGCAATAGAATACATCACACATATTCCGATGAAAAAATTCGTATTGTACGAAATTTGAAAAGAATCGGAGGATTATTTCGTATTTTATGAGGGTTATAATTTTTCAAAAATGTTGACCCGTTGTGGGGTAGGTATCAGAAGAAGTGGATTACTATCGACTATCTTCACACCAGATCTTGTGTTGATAGAAATATGGGGATGTGCCGATTTTTAAAAGGAACGGACGCTCATTTTCTATTTTATCCAAAATTTTGACCCGCTGTGGGGGAGGTACTAGAAGGAGGTGACCGATATCTACCATATTCGCATCAGATCTTGTATTAGTAGAAATATTGGAATGTGTGGAATTTGAAGAGAATCTGATGCAAATTTCGATTTTTTTGAGAGTTATAATTATTTCGAAATTTTGACCCGTTGTGGGGGAGGTACCGAAGAAGGTGACCGATATCTAACATCTTCACAGCAGATCTTGTGTTATTAAAAATAATGGAATGTCTGAAGTTTAAAAATAATCAAATGCTTATTTTCTCATTTTTTTGATCATTTTGGCTATTTAGAATTTTGACCCCTTTGGGGGACTTGTACCGGAAGGAGTGGACCGAAATCTGCCATCTTCTCACCAGATCTTGTGTTGATAAAAATATGGAGATGTGGTGAGTTTGAAAGTAATCGGATGATTATTTTGTCTTTTATGAAAGTTAGATTTTTTCTAAAATTTTGATCCCTTCGTGGGGGAGGTACCACAGGGAGTGGTCGCATATATTCCGTCTTCACACCAGATCTTGTCTTACTAAAAATACTTGGTTGTGCAAAGTTTGGAAAGAATCGGATTCTTATTTTGCATTTCATGAGCATTTTGGTCATTCAAAATTTTGACCCCTTTGTGGGGGAGGTACCAAAAGGAATTGTCGGATATATTCCATCTTGTCACAAGATCTCGTGTTAGTAGAAATATTTGGATGTGTAAAGTATGGAAAGAATCGGATGCTTATTTTGCATTTCATGAGCATTTTGGTCATTCAAAATTTTGACCCCTTTGTGGGGGAGGTACCAGAGGAAGTGGACTGATATCTACCACCCTCATACCAGATCTTGTGTTAGTAGAAATATTTGGATGTGTAAAGTTTGGAAAGAATAGGATGCTTATTTTGCATTTCGTGGGCGTTTTTGTTATTCAGAATTTTAATCCCTTTGTGGGGGAGGTACCGAAAGGAGTGGACCAATATCTACCATCTTAACACCAAATCATATATTGATAAAAATATGGATATGTGGAAAATTTGAAAGTAATCCGATGCTTATTTAGCATTTTATAAGAGTAATAATTATTCAAAAATTTTGACCCGCTGTGGGGGAGGTACCAGAAGGAGTGGACCGATATGTACCATCTTCACATCAGATCTTGTGCTACTAAAAATATTTGGATGTGTGAAGTTTAAAAAGAATCGAATGACTACCTCACATTTTATAAGCGTTTTTGTAATTCTGAATTTTGACACCTTTGTCGGGAAGGTACCAGAAGGAATGGTGGAATAAACTTCATCTTTCCACAAAATCTTGTGTCACTAGAAATATTTTGATGTCTAAAGTTAAGATGGGATCAGATGCGTACTTCGCATTTCATGAGCGTTTTTTGTTATTCAGAATTTTGACCATTTATGGGGAAGGAACCAGAAGGGGTGGACCAATATGTACCATCTTAGCACCAGATCTTTTGCTGATTAAAATATGGAGATGTGGAGAATTTGAAAGTAATCGGATGATTATTTCGCATTTTATAAGAGTTATAATTATTCAAAAATTTTGACCCGCTGTGGGGGAGGTACCGAAAGGAGTGGACCAATATCTACCATCTTCACATCAGATCTTGTGCTACTAAAAATATTTCAATGTGTGAAGTTTAAAAAGAAACGAATGCTTACCTTGCATTTTATGAGCTTTTTTGTTATTCAAAATTTTGACCCCTTTGTCGGGGAGGTGCCAGAGGGAATGGTCGGATAAACTTCATCTTTCCACAAAATCTTGTGTCACTAGAAATATTTGGATGCCTAAAGTTAAGATGGGATCAGATGCTTACTTTGCATGTAATTAGCGTTTTTGTTATTCAGAATTTTTACCCCTTTGTGGGGGAGGTACAAGAAGTAGGGGTCGGAAATTGTCCATCTCCGGACTCGATCTAAGTTTGACAATGATATTACAATGTACCAAGTTTGGATCAAATCGGATACTCCCTTCGAGAGTTATGGTGCGCCCCAGCCAGATAGACGGATGGACGGACACCCCTAGATCGACTCTTAAACATTTATTTCGATGAGAGCACGTTTTGGCCGTTTTAAATGTTATATACCCTCATTAACCTAAGGTTATAAGAAATCCACAGCCTCAGAAAAAGTTCCCCAAAAATCCGGCGCCTTTAAAAAATGTCCTTAATACAACCACAATCAAATTCTAAAAAGAACAAGACCACAGACATTTATTTAAAAGAAGTCCGTGAATTTTTTGACAATTTACACGAATTCGAAAAATCTTTTTTTAAAAAATGAAATGTTCTTAAAAACCTATGGCAACTAGCTAAGGATTCAAAGGTGACAGAATTCGACGAATATGACAGAAAAACTTCCACTCCTTGTGTGTATCGTGTTTTTTTCTTTCGGATACAAATTAATTCGTTCGTGAGAGACACAGGCTCTAAATATCAAAATCTTAAAGACACCCTAAAACTAACCCCATATTTGGTCTGTTCCAGAACTGCAAGAATGTCGAAGTTTCTTCTACGATAATAGATTTTCTTTTAACGTTGTCTCAAAATGTTACTGCCAAACTAGTAGATTTTTGCAGGTTCTGCAACAGACTAGTTATATTCTCTTTTTAAAAATATTCTCAAAATTTACACATTATCTGTTTAGAAAAATTTAGCTGATTTTTCTTTGTATTTTTGCCAAATTATAATTTTATTTTTTATTATTTTATCTTAGAAAATGCCTTATTATAAATAAATATTCTTTATTTCCCCCAACAAAAAACGCATACTCATTTCATAATTAAACTCAAAACGAGCCTCTCATTGCGGTAACTCCATTTCCTTCCTCACACAATATCTGCTGGCAACCCAACACAACCCACTGCAGAAAAAAAAAACAAAAATCCATGTAACTCTGATGACAATAACAAAACCCGACGAAGCAATAAAATGTCACGCACTCACAACAGAAAACACTTGTTACACACACAGATGGTGGTGTGGCGACAGCAGGAGTCAGTGGCAGCAGCAGCAGCATCTGTCGCAGCAGCACAACAACACAACAACTTACTATGAAGGAAGGGAGTGAGGGATGTCAATTACCACCCAGAGAAATATGTACTATGAGAGGGAGAGTGTGTGTGTGTGGGGGAGAGCTGAAAACAGATACTCACATTACGATAGTATACTGAGAAGAGATGTTGTTGCTTTTTTCTAATTGGTATTTATGTTTATGTAGTAAAAAGTTGTAAAAGAAATACCAAACAAAACATTGAGAGTTATGTTGTGGAGGAGAGGGGAGAGAGAGGTGTGGAAGGAGAGCAGAGTATGATTTGTTTGATTTTGATTTGTTGGTGTTTGATTTGATTTTTGAATAGATAGGTACAAACAAAACAAACGAAATCAAAGTTATTTTTAAAAACGAAAAGGGGATTTACACGAAAGCGATATGGGTACCTAGTTATGAGTAATTTAGTAAGCCAATTAGAGTTCCTATTGGAATTTTAAATGGTTGTTTATATTGTCACAGTCACTGAGTTAGGAACATTGGAATTTCAAAAACAAAAAAAAATACTAAAACAAGTGTTTTCACCCATTGATTTTTTTTTTGCCACCACCGACCACCATATGATAATAAAATAAATATGTATATTTAATTTATGTAGGTATGTAGAAAATCTATAATACAGAAAGGCAATACATACATACGTCGTTTATGATGTTGATAAACCCAGTGTTGTGGATGTTTATGTTCCACTTTGCTGCTTGCGTTGGGAAGTTCTTGTTAAATATGTGTGTTTGTATGTTTGTTTTTTTTTTATTATTCCACTTTAATATATTGTTTCTTTCTTGTTTATTATAGGTTATGGATGCTTCGTTTCACAGACACACACGCACAAGTGGTTTTTTATATTTATTTATTAATGACACAACAGAAAAACAGTTCGCGAGGGTATTTAAAAATTTTTACACAGTTTTTCTTGCAATTTTTGTTTTTCTTTTCTGTTTTTTACTTCGTTGTCAAGTAAATAATCCGCCTCGGTCAATAACAGCCACTGCCGTATTTTTGTTGTCTTTATTATTTCACTTGATTTGATTTTTTTTTATTTTTTGCTGCACACAAACAAAACACATAAAATTAGCACTTTATTTGTCGTTATAGTTTTGTTGTTAAATATTTTGTTGTTGTTGTTGTGATTTGTTGGTTGTCAACAACAATAACAACAGCACTAAGAACAAGAACAGATAGTGATAATACAATACACGAATTGTAGATGATTTCTGATTTTGCTTAATTTTATTTCAATTTTTATTTTTTGCTTCTTTTAAAGTATAATCATGATTATTTTATTTCGTAGATACTATTTTTGTCGTCGTCGTAGAACAACCACAACAACAAGAATACACAGCAAAAAAGTAACGAACAACGAACATGAAGGAAAAACTATCAACCGACCGACGACAGTAGTGATGATAATGGTGGCAGCAGCAGCAGCAAATAGTAATGACAACAAATTAATAACAACATTAGAATAGCGTAAAGAGAGAAAGAGAGGCAATAGTACAACAATAACAATACACAACAAATTGTTGGTTGCCACAAGACGGCGGGCTGGCGCTTTGACAATCAAAATACACAATTTTTCATGGCACTCCAGCTTAAATCATCAACAGAGAGGCAGCAGGCCGTTAGAGGGGAGAGGCCACACATAAAAACATTGTTGCCATCAAAAACAGTACTCTCTTAGTATTCCTCTTCTTCTTCTTCTTGCAATGCCTCCACACAATTTGCCTGCTGTTATATTTTATTTCGATTTGGATTCTTTTTTTTTTTTTTTGTTGGTTGGTCGGTTTTTTTGTTTAATATTTTATTCTTAACCAGAAACACTCACACTAATGTGTGTTTTCAATTAATGCACGCACACACACACACACACAAATAGCACAACATTAAAACAAAACACACGGAGACGCGCGCGCACTCGGGCCGTCAACGTAAACGTCAACCTCAGTCAACGTAAAATTCGTTTTCGTGGTCGTCGTAGCCGTTATCGTAGCGTAGTAATCGTGGCCGTCGTCGTCGTTGTTGACGAGCCAAAAACAACAATTACACACACATACAATTAATGCGAGTAGAAGAAGGAAAAAAATATATAAATTCCACTACGACGACAAACGAACTCCAATTGGAATTTTTCTCTTGTTATTATTTCTTTTTTTTTTGGGGTATGGATTGACTTGCCACCACCTTCTTCTTCTTCTGCCACCTCCTCCTACAGCACTAACACTTTATGTCGTTGCTCGTATTCTATTAAATCAAATAATTTTTCATTTCCATATTTATTTCTTTATTTATGCGCACTTTTTGTATTAAGCTCTGCTTCTTCTTCTTCACTTTGTGTGCACTAGAAAATTTTTTATTTCTTTTCTTCGTTTCGTCGTTGTCGTCGTCTTCGTCTCACATAACACTCTTTTTTTAATTTTTTTTTATTTAGTATTTGTTATTGCATTCATTATTATTTGATTAAAACATTTTTTTTTGTATTCTTTTTTTAGAATTCGTTTTTTATTTTTGTATCTTCTCGTTGAACATGAACTACACCAGCGTTTGTGCCAGGCCGTTTTATTGTTTTTTTGCATCCGAATCGTACGAAAATCTAATTTGACTGAACAAATTCATTGCCGAAGTGTGGCGAGAATGTTGCCACCGAATTGAAAATCGTTCCAAACGATACGAATGTGTAGGCAGCAAGGAAATGGACGATAAAAGTGGGCAACGAAATGAATAGCGATTGTGGCAGAATGTGGTGGGAAGAATAAAAATATTACGAAGCCAGCCGACAAGTGTGTGATCACACACAGGGCTAACGGCGTTCGAATTCAAGAGTGACTCTGGCACTCTATAATGTTTATAGTACGTTCACACGAATTTTTGACGGTATTACGAGCACTGGCAGAATTAATACGAATTGTTTCAACTACATTTAGAAAATATATACGTCAAAAAGCTTTTAACGCGATAAAAATATAAAGAATTATATAAAATCGTAAAGAAGTTTCTTTAGAAAGTGATTTTTAAAAATTTCCGAAGAATATAAAAATTTTATAATCTGTATTTTTTTCTGAGAGAGAAATATTTTAGTTAACGTCCTAGCTTTTCTCTCTTTTAAATAGTCAACACAAAATATTAAAGAATTTGGATTTAGTTTTTCCAAAGTTGTATTCTAGAACTGTAGTACTATAGAGTGATTTTTGAGAGCTATAGAAAAGTTTCTCACAAAAAATACAAGAAATTAAAAAAAAATATATCGATAAAAACTGTATTCGAATTAATATTGCGGTCCATATGTGGATCATGGTAGATGATCTTTGAAGAAGTACGGTCCAATGATGCATTTTGCTTATTTACGTACCCATAGAGACAAATGGCCGCCTGCTTGGCCGCTGCACATAATTTTAAATAGGCATTTTGATAATACAATTCAATGATTTGCCAGCGTTGTTCGTTTGTAAGACGATTGATTCCTGGTTAAATTATAGACCAAACTGAAGATATTTGACAGTGAAGCAAAAAAAGAAACTTGCGTAAGTTGTTTAGACCAGCGTTGCCAAAAAGATGAAGCCACTATAAAAATAATTGTAACATAAAGAGGATATTGAGAACTTACTACAATTTCATTGCTGTAAATACGCTAAAAATCCTTTCGACAATCTGCGGCTATTTGAAATATATTAAAATAGCGTTTTTAGGCAATAGATAATAACAATTACACATATAAAGCACTTGTTCTGTTTCCGAACTGCAAGTTAGTAAAAGTTTCTGCAACGATAGCCGATTTTCCCTTTATGATATCGAAGAGAATTGCAAAACTAGTAGATTCTTGCAGGTTCTGGAACTGAGCTACTGTTTACGCTGCAATATTTTTTAAACAAAACACTTTCATTCATGTCCTGGAATTTTAGTCTTCATTTAGCTGTATTCATTTTTACATTCTATTACTAAGAAATCTGTGCTTTTAAATATTTTTAAAAGGCCGAATGTATGAAAAAAATCGATTACTCGATTATTTCATTTTCCCTCGATTAGTCAAAAGTCGATCTACATATCCCTAAGTGCAACTAACTGCAAGAGCGATATATGCTCCATATACTAAGCCAAACAAATAAAATACGAAGTAAATATTTTGTAAAACTTCAGTTTTCCCATAAAACATTTAATTCTTTTATTCTTTGTGTCTGTTTTCATCTTTAAAACCTCCAAAGGACGGCGTCAATAAAAAGGAAAAAGCATCAGCCAAGTTTGGAAAGCAGAGAAATAAAGAAAGAAGGACGGTAAGTACTGATGAAACTGCTGAATGAGAAATCAAAATATGAAAACAAAGAAAATGAAATAGATCAGGCGACAACGAATAAGAAGAAATTAACAAATAGAAAAACAAATTAAAGTGAACTAACTATACGGCGACGATGGTGATGATTATGATGATGATCTTGCTGCATTGAAACTTGAAAAAAGGCAGAGTACAGCAAACCAACAACAAATAGAGAGTGTTGGTGTCAAACAAAGAGGTCACTAACGAACGAGAACTTCAGCAGCGTTAGAACGAACAAGCAAGCAAGCAATCAAAGTAAGGGGGCAGAGAGTGTGTCTTCTAAAGAAGGGCAAGGTTTGAAGCTATGAATATAAACAAAAAGAAAACAATTGGACTTCTGTACTAATTTCACCATTCGTCAATTGCAAGTAGTCACTATTTATTTTGTTGTTGTTGTTATTTTCTATTGCAGATAGAATGGATATTGGAGACAACACATTCGATAGCCAACAGACGGGCGGAGGTGGCGGCGGCGGTGGTCCATCCCAGCAACAGACAGGACAACAAATGCAATGTGATCCGGTTTTCGATAGCTCACATGGACCCCTCGGTGGGCCCATACCCTTACCTGCCCCACCACAAAACTACGACAAGGGTCGTTCGAATGCTGCCGATATTGATTTCGATTCGCTGTTGCTGCAACAATTCAGCTGTTTGGGCACACGAGACCACGAAGATCTGATCGAACAATTTCACAGTCTAATGAATAATCAAATGAACAAGGATGCGGCCCGTTTCTTCTTGGAGATGAGTAATTGGTAAGTATGGAAGATGACGGTGTGGTGTAGTTTTCAGAGTAATACGGGAAATTTGAATCGCATAGCTATTTTATTAACAAAACAGAACACTAATTGTCTTTGTTTCGTATTTGTAATAAATTTTGCGCCGTATTGGCTCGGCATAGATCGTAGATTGTTGGAAGACGTCTAGGCGGAAAATTGCCAAAGAAAGAAATCTAAGACAAAAAAGAAAAGATTTTAATGAATGGCTTCTTTTCCAAAAAAAACACAATTTTTCCAAGACTTCGTCCCAATATCCTTGCCCACTTTTTTTCATTGTTATTTTCACGAAATAACAATTTTCAAAACTTTATTTCTTTGAGCGGACATATTATTTTTTTATTTTCTGCAAAGATAAGATAATAAAGATCTGGAAAAGATAGACAATTTAATAAAGCGAATAAGTTTGAACATTCGTTTATTGTGAAATCTTTTTAGAATTTTGAGTTTTTTTTTAAGATTTGGATACCCGATTATTGTTCATTTGATTAGAACAAATTTCGTTACGGCGGATAAAATATTTTAATATTCCAATAACTTGGATAAAGTTTTTTCATAATTTGAAATAAGTAGTTATATTTTGTCGTCATAAGAATAACGTGGATAAGTTTTTTTTGTTACTTTAAGCGCGCGGTTAAACATTTTGATAACATGGACAATTTTTTTTGACTATTTGGATAACGAGGTTAACATTTTTTGACCATACATGTTTTGACTATTTGGATAACGTATTTTGACTATTTGAATAAAACTTTTTGTGTATTTGGATAACGTGGATAAAATTTTTGACAAATTAGTTAACTTAGAAAATATTTTTTTGTTATTTGGATAACGTGGATAAAATTTGTTGGTTATTTAGATAACGTGGATGAACATTTTTGGTAATTGGATAATGTGAATACAATTTTTGACAATTTGGATAACGTGGATAAAATTTTTTTGGCAATTGGATAACGGGAAAATATTTTTTGACTATTAGATAAAATTGTTTGACTACTTGTGCAACGTGGATAAACTTTTTTCACTATTTGGAAAATTTAATTAAGTTGTTTGAGTATTTGGACAACGTGGATTAAATTTTTTTGGCAATTGGATAACGTGGATAATATTTTTTGACTATTTGAATAAAGTGGATAACATATTTTGACTATTTGGATAACGTGGATAAAATTTTTTGGACAATTTGGCTAACGTGGATAACAATTCTGAGTACTTGGATAACGTGAATAACATTTTTTGAATATATGGATAACTTGATTAATTTTTTATAATTTTTGGATAACGTGGATAAAGTTTTTTGACTATTTGGACAACGCGGATCACATTTTTTGACAATTTAGATAACGTGGATAATATTTTTGACAATTTGGATAACGTGGATAATATATTTTTATTATTTGGATAACGTGGACAGAACTTATTTGGCAATTGGATAACGTGGGTAATATTTTTTGACTATTTGGATTGGATAATTTATTTAAATTGTTTGTCTATTTGGATAACGTGGATAAAGTTTTTTTTGGCAATTGGATAACGTGGATAACAATTCTGACTATTTGGATAACGTGGATAACAATTTTTACTATTTAGATAACAGGGATAAAGATTTTTTTACTATTTAGATAACGTGGATAAAATTTTTTGACTATTTGTGTAACGTGGATATTATTTTTTGACTATCTGGATAACGTGGATAAACATTTTTGTTAATTGGATAACATGGATAAAAAGTTTTGACTATTTGGATAAGGTGGATAACATTTTTTGACTATTTGGATAACGTGGATAAAATTTTTTGGACAATTTGGATAACGCGGATAACAATTCTGACTATTTGGATAACGTGGATAACAATTTTTACTATTTAGATAACATGGATAAAGATTTGTTTACTATTTAGACAAAGTGGATAAAAAATTTTGGTAAATGGATATCGTGGATAAAGATTTTTGATATTTAGATAACGAGGACAACATTTTTTGACTTTTTATATAACGTGGATAATGTTTTTTGACTATTTGGATAACGTGGATAAAAATTTTTGGTAATTAGATAACGTGGATAAAGATTTTTGACTATTAAGGTAACGTGGATAAATTTTTTTGTCAATTGGATAACATGGATAATATTTTTTTGACTATTTGGATAACGTGGATAGAAAATTTTTGGCAATTGGATAACGTGGATAATATTTTTTGAGAATTTGGATAACGTGGAGAATATTTTTTGACAATTTAGATAACGTGGATAATGTTTTTTGACTATTTGGATAACGTGGATAAAAATTGTTGGTTATTTAGATAACGTGGATGAACATTTTTGGTAATTGTGAATATATAATGTGAATACAATTTTTGACTATTTGGATAACGTGGATAAAGTTTTTTTTTTGGCAATTGGATAACGTGGATAATATTTTTTAACTATTTAGATAAGGTGGATAACGTTTTTTGACTATTTTGATAACGTGGATAAAATTTTTTGGACAATTTGGCTAACGTGGGTAACAATTCTGACTATTTGGATAACGCGGATAGAAATTGTTGGATAACGTGGATAACAATTCTGACTATTTGGATAACGTGGATAACAATTTTTACTATTTGGATAACGTGGATAACAATTTTTACCATTTAGATAAGATGGATAAAGATTTTTTACTATTTAGATAACGTGGATAAAATTATTTAACTATTTGGATAACGTGGATAATATTTTTGACTATTTGGATAACGTGGATAACATTTTTTGGTAATTGGACATTTAGATAACGTGGATAATTTTTTTTGTCAATTGGATAACATGGATAAAATTTTTTGGACAATTTCGATAACGTGGATAACAATTCTAACTATTTGGATAACGTGGATAACAATTTTTACTATTTAGATAACATGGATAAAGATTTTTTTTATTTGGATAGCGTGGATATCTTGACTATTTTTTTTCTAATTTTTGGAAAACGTGGATAAAGTTTTTTGACTATTTGGATAATGCGGATCACATTTTTTTGACAATTTAGATAACGTGGATAATATTTTTTAACAATTTGGATAAAGTGGATAATATTTTTTGACTATTTAGATAACGTGGATAGAAAATTTTTGGCAATTGGATAACGTGGATAATATTTTTTGACTATTTGGATAACGTGGATAACATTTTTTGACTATTTGGATAACTTGATTATATTTTTTTTAACATGGATAAAATTTTTTGACAATTTGGATAACCTGGGTAAATTTGTTTGGCTATTTTGAAACGTGGATAAATCTTTTTGGCTATTGGATAACGTGGATAATATTTTTTGACTATTTGGGTAACGTCGATAAATTTGTTTGAATATTTGTGTATCATGAATAAAATTTTTGACTATTTGGATAACTTAATAAAGTTTTTTGACTATTTGGATAACACGGATATGGTTTTTTTGGCAATTGGATAACGTGGATGATATTTTTTTACCACTTGGATAACGTGGATAACATTATTTGAATATTTGGATAACTTGATTAATTTTTTACTTTTTGGATAACGTGGATAATTTTTTTTTTTTACAATTTTGATAAGGGGGATAACAATTTCGAATATTTGGATAATGTGGATAAAGTTTTTCGTTCAAATGGATAACATTTTTGACTATTTGGATAACGTGGATAAAGTTTTTCGTCTATATGGATAACATTTTTGACTCTTTGGATAATATGAATAAAGTTTTTTAACTATTTGGATAACGTGGATAACATTTTGACTATTTGGATAACGTGGATAATATTTTTTGATTATTTGGATAACTTGACTAATTTTTTTTTAACTTGGATAATGTTTTTTGACAATTTGGATAACGTGGATAATATTTTTTGGATTTTTTTGGTTCTTTTGATAACGGGATAAAAATTTTTACTAAATTTTACAAAAAAAAAAAACAAAAAAAAAAAAACAAAAAACAAAATTCACAATTTTATTCAACATTTTCCCTTCTTTTTCGTCCCTTCCTCCTCTCCTCCCCCTAGGAATCTTCAAACCGCTGTCGGCTGTTATTTGGACTTTTGCAATGGCCAGACGCTGCCATCGATGAAACTGGTCCAACAACAGCCGAATGGTCAACAAATGGCATGGCGTCTACAAAATATCGGCTCCGAAACATGGCCCAACGGCTGTTACTTAATGTCCAATAGTCAAGTGCGACGCCTCGAAGTGCCCTCCCTGCGACCGGGTGATACGTGTGATGTGGTAGCCGATATCTGTACCCCTGAGCCGATTGTGTGGCGTCTGTGTACACCGTATGGTGAATATTTCGGTGATAGCCTATGCCTGGTGGCACCGGGCGTTTTCAATTCACACGAAGAATTAAATCAACGTTTAGCTCAATTAGCTGTTACCGAACAAAATCCCGCCCAATGTCCTCAAGTTAATATTGTGATATCGGAGAGAATGGAATAAAGCGAATGTGAATGGGATGTTGTGAGATTTTCGGTCTGAAGACCAGCGAACGAGAGAGAGAGAGAACAAGTGCGAAAGAGATCATTATAGATGTATTTAATAGAAATGAATGTGTGTGTGTGTCGTATTTGATTTTTTTTAATTTTGGCTGAAATTTTATTTTAAAGGGCATGAACGAGAGATCTGGTGTGAGTAAGACTTGGTGAGAGAGAGAAGAAGAAGAAAATGAGAACAACTACAAAAGAGTGTGAATGCAGTTTTAAGTTTTTCTATTTTTCCCCCTTTCTTTTTTATGTTCACCAAAAAATAATAGCTTTGTTTTGTTTTTTATTTTCTAAAACAAAAAATTCGTGAATTTTATTTTCTATAAACCATATATCTACTAATAATATTTAAGTTTTATTCGAGCTTTCACATTTTCTTTTTCTACATTTTTAATATATTCTCTATGTAAAAATTATAGAAAATATATACTTATATATATATCCTACAGTTCTCTTAATGATATACATATATATATTTTTGCTTTTACTATTATTTTGTTAAATATCAATTTAATATTATTATAATTATAATTCTTAATTGCCTACCAATCCAATTTGTAATTTGGTACTAAACAAATTTTGAAAACGAAACAAAACTCAAAACAAAAAAAGTTTATTATTTATGTGGTTGAATAACATTATTTGTCTCTATTGCCGGTTTTTATATATACAAAACAAATGCGTGAATTATATAAATATTTATATTCGATTATAAATTGGAAAACAAAATATGTAAAAACAGAAAAAAAACAAAAACAAAATCGATAACAAATTGCTAAGTTTTATATACACATACATAAATTTAGGTATATACGTATGTAATTTTTAATTAATATTTAGAAAGGATAATAAATAAAATGTAATTGTTAAAATTAAATTTTGAAAATCTTTCGAATGTTATTTTTATTGGCAGTAGGAGAAGTACACAGGGTGAGATAAAAAAAAAACTGCAACAAAGTCAAACACCATAATTTTTACTTTTTTACATTTTATTGAATGAAAAAAAATTGGAATTTTTACATTTTAGAATAAGTTTTGATTTGTTCGAATTGGTCACCTTTGGCACACCAAGGCTTTAATACACCCTCCAGAATATTTTCGCGATAATATTCGGCATTTATTTTGATGCCACGGTCGATTAATACGAGCGGAGAGCGATTATCGGCTGTTATGGCGACCCACACCATCACCATGACCGGCGTTTGTTGGTCTTTAAAAACCCTCATTTGTTAACCTGTATTTCTTTATACATTTTTTATTTAAATTTTCTTTTTTCTTCTGTGGATCTTTGAAAATATATCATATAAAAGTTTACATTTTTTGATCCTTGTGTTCTCATAAAAATATTCTTTATTATTCCGTATAAAATAATATTTAAAAATGCACATTCAACCATAAAAACGCTCTGGTGGTATTTAAAAAATTGCCTCTCGGGGGGTCTTGAAAACATATTTTCAATAAAATCTACGCATTAGTGGTCGATGAAAATATACTCATTAAAAAATTCACCTACGGCTGGTTCTGAAAAAAATTATATTTAAAAAATCCACGCTCTTTTGTTAATAAATGGAGCGCCTTTATTATGGCATAGCACAGCTGCTTTTTGAATGACGTATACGTTACGTCGCCTACTAACTACCATCTGTTGGTAGGCGTATGTAATTTGACTAATCGCAATTTGACTTAGATATCCCTACTTCAAAGACTCTTATCGTTAGGGATACCTAGTCGAAAACATGGTACAATGAGGATATGTAGGATAAGTTAGAGAAAATTGTACTTAAAAAGGGCTGCTTGTATAGATTGTAATTGCAATAGCAACAAATCCAACAAACTGTTTCGTATCAAGTAAACAAAACAATTTGTTGAATTTATTTTAATTAAATAAAGAATAAACACGAAAAAAGAATGAACGTTTAAACCTTCTTTTTCAAATTATGTTCTAAAAGGTGTTTTAACTAGAACGCAATTTTTAAATTTTAAATAAAACACAGATATTAAAAAAATCGTGAAACTTTTATGCATCTACCTATTATTCTTCTACCATAAGTAGACAGAATGAGGTTATGTATGGAATATGACATCTAGCAGAGGACCGCCGCGTTTGCTGCCGCAGTATTTCACTAAGGCAGCGTCCACTTTCCGAACCGAAAGGGAATTCTTTATGAAATCGAAGAAAATTGTAAAAATTAGTAGATTCTTGCAGGTACTGGAACAGAGCATGACTGTTGTGTGTGTACTACATTAGACTTTTCCATATCAAAAGCCGATTAATCGATGTATCGAAAGTCGACTTACGTAGCCCTAGTCATTGTGTTGTTTTATGATTTTTCTCATTCTCCATTCATACTCTTTCGTCGGTTGGTCGTTTGACGCGCGCGGGCATACTCGTTGTTCTTTTTTAATATATTTGCACGAAATAAATTGTAAACAAAAACAACAAATTATTAAGAAAAAACAAAATTATAAATTTCGCAATTGAAAAAGAAATAAAAAAGAAAAATTGTTGTTGTTTTGCCCTTCAATCGATTAAATTGTAATTGTGTGGTGTGGTGTTTGAAACTTGAAAGAAATCAGGCGAGAACAAAGCAAAAAAAAATATCGTCATTTAATGCAAAATCGTGTAAAGCAACAACAATCGAGTAAATGAAAAATTAAAATAACAACAAACCAACTATTGCTGCTGCTACTAGGCAATAAAAGTGATTAAGTTTTTTTATACAAATTCCCTTCTACTATAATTAACAACAAAATCATTGGAAATATTTGTAGCTTTGTTTGTTGCTGCTGTGTGGGAAAAGATTCTATACGGAAGTAAGTTAGAATTTTTTATGTGAAAGAAGAAAAAAAAAATAACACACAAAAGATAAAAGCAAACTTCGTTTGTGTATACTGTGTTTGTCGGTGTGTGTGTGTGTGTGTGCGAGTTGTGTGCAAGCTTCTGCCAAAGTATTAATTGCAAAGTAATTTTCTTGATTGTGTTACACAAAGAAGCTGAAACAAAATTAATAACCCCTTTCGTCTAAACAATGGACTTTGAGACCACCCCTTTATTGGCTGAAACGGGAGGAATAGGTAAATTGAAATTTGAAGAAAAATTATAACAAATTAATCTTTAAAAAGTCGTAAATCTAACAAATTTTCACTCTCTCTTTCGTTTGTTTACAATGATGTTGTGCTCTCCCTCTCTTGCCTCTCGTTGAAATTGATGCTCTCCGTGAAAAATGACATTATCTCATTGCTAATGCTGTAATTGTGGGCCCATCAGAAGTATCAGAAAAAGAACTCAAGTGTAATTACAATAAATCCCTGGAAACATCTTCATCTTCAACAATGTCACCATCTGCCCAGCTAACAACTGCTCCCCAAATAAAGGAGTTGCCCCAACATGATCAACCAGCAGATGAAAACGCCAGTGCAAAAATGTCAAATCCAAACATCACGGCCTCAAGTCCCAAGAAGCCAATGTCCGCCGCTGAACGTTCGGCCACCAAAAAATCCCTCTTCATTTTAGCTGGTATCTTTGTAACGTCATTGGCTGCAATGTTTTACGTCTACATGATATTCCCAGAATTGAATGAGTAAGTATCCATCCATCCAACCATTCAAAATCCACCTACAAAAGTAAAAAACAAAATGTAAAGTACAAAACATGGAGACACACTTGGAAAAACCAAACAAAGGGGTAGAGATAACTATGAATGTGGTCTTGTGTATATAATGCTTGGAGCAAATGAAGCTTGTGGTGAGGGGGGGTGGCGAGTATGACTAGAAAGTGCTAAAACATTCTTTGTTTATACTCTGTTAAATAGGGCGGAGACACCAGCAACAAAACGAACATGTGAACATGTGCTCTGGGCCTTCAGTCAGTCAGCCAGTGAGCAAACAAAGATGTTTTTATTTTTCCAGCAAATAAGTTTTCCATACTCCGGAAATGGGGTAAATAAAATAAGCTGATGGCCGGCCATATGGGCTAATGAAAGGTTTTTACATAAATTCATATATAAATAAGCAGGGAAGTATGGACAAATTGCTATGGAAAATCAAGAAAGGGTGCCTTAATGTCATGAAATTGAAATCGTAACTTGGAAGAAGATTGGGGATATTTTTTTTAAACCATAACAAGGTTATAAAAAGATCCATAAGGCTCAAAATGTGTCATTTAACAATGACATGATTTTTTTTCTTAAAAAAACCGCAAACTTTAAAAAGATTTCAAATATATCCTTAAAGACCACAAGGTTGCTAGGCTCATTGAATATTCTAAAAATGCAATGATGACTTACCTATATGAGAGTCACCCAAGAAATTTGTATGCAGAAAGTGCTGTGGAAGCAAAGAACGGGTACTTTTTGTAATGAAACCCCATAATAAATATGTGAAAGGATCCATAAGACAGACTCATTTTTGTATTAAACCAGGATCTGATATATTCACAACAGGTTAAATAGTATCAGTCGGTTTTGCCGACAGATCTATACCCCCAGCCTTGAGTTATGATTATTCAAACTGTTGACCCTTTATGGGGGGAGGTTCCGAAGCAGTTGGCCAATATTGATCAATTCGTATCTGACCTAAGACTGATAAAAATATTACAACGTGCCAGATTTGGATTATATCGACTACTTCCAATACTTTATATGAGATATGGCAAATTTTTGCACAGATAACAGATATAGCAAGCCGGAGTATTCCATTTAAATACTTCATCTAATACTGATAAACAATTTTGGTATGAGCAAAATTCGAAGGAAATCGAACATTTATATCCAATTTTATGCGAAATCATAAATTCCAGATATCTGGTTAAGAGAAATATTTAGATATAGCAAATTGTAAAGAATCGCCGATTTGTTTCGCAACTTATGACAAATATAAGTATTGGAAATTGTGACACTTTGTGGGTTAAGCACCAGAAGGGTTTGGCAGATATATATCATTTTCACAACAGATTCTGCGTTAGCAAAAATATTTGGATGTGTGAAATTTGAAGAGAGTTGGATGCTTATTTCGCTTCCTTTGAGCGTTTTGTGTTTCGAAATCTTGAACCCTATTTGGGGGAGATACCACTGGAACTCTACCATCTTTATAACATATCTTGTGTTGATGAAAATATTGAGATGTACTAGGTCTGAATGGAATAGGATGATTATTTTCTCGTTTTATGAGCTTCACGGATATTCAAAATTTTGACCCTTTGTGGGGGAAGGTACCATAAGGAGTGGACCAATATAATCCAACTTCACACCAGACCTTGGATTAATAAAACTAATGTGATTTCGTGTTTTATGAACTTCATGAATATTCAAAATTATGACCCTTTGTGGGGGAGGTACCAGAAGGAGTGGACCCATATAATCCATTTTCACACCTGATATTGGGTTAACACAAATATTTTAATGTGTGTAATTTGAAGAGAACCGGATGCTTATTTCGGATTTTATAATCGTTTTGGTTATTCAAAACTTTGACACTTTGTGGGGGAGGTACCAGAAGAAATGATCCGATCTTAACCATCTTTATAACAAATCTTGTGTTGATGAAAATATCGAGATATGCCAAGTCAGAATGGAATCGGATGTTAATATCGTGTTTTATGAGCTTCACGGACATTCAACATTTTCAACCTTTGTGGGGGAGGTACCAGATCTTGGGTTAATAAAAAAAATTGTGATGTATGTAATTTGAAGAAAACTGGATGCTTATTTCGGACTTTATGATCGTTTTTGTTATTCTAAACTTTGACCCTTTGTGGGGGAGGTACCAGAAGGAATGGTCCGATCTCAACCATCTTTATAACAAATCTTGTGTTGATGGAAATGTTGACATGTACCACGTCTGAATGGAATAGAATGTTAGTTTCGCGTTTTATGAGCTTTATGAATATTCAAAATTTTAACCCTCTGTGGAGGAGGTAACAGAAGGAATGGACCGATACAATCCATATTCACACCTGATCTTGGGTTAATACAAATATTGATGTGTGCAATTTGAAGACCTTCGGACTATTAAATCACATTTTATATGATATATAATTATTCAAAATGTTGACCCTTTGTACGAGAGGTACTTGGTGGAGTAGACCGATATGGTTCATTTTCGCATTTTACCTAGCACTGATGCAAATATTAGGATTTGCAAAGTTGGATTATTCGTTTTCTATCTGTGCAGTAAATCTTCTTTGAAAACTTCGACCTTTTGTGGGGGAGGTATTAGAAGGAGTGGACCGATATTGCCTATCTCCGAACTCGATCTAAGTTTGATAATTATATTACGATGTACCAAATCGGAAGAGTTATGGTCCGCACCGGCCAGCCAGGCAGACAGACGGACATCGCTAGATCGACTCCAAATGTCCTGAAATGGATTCGTTCCAAAGAGACCTAGGGTCTCTTTGGCTGAGGGTATACAAATATATTTTAAATACGATTCAACACTTTTGCAATGGTGGATTTTTCAAACATCGTTTTATAGGATACATTAGGACTGTAATTATATTTGGTTTATTTTGTTCAACTTCTGTGATCTTCAATTTTAAAAATCTTTTTAAAAATTCTATCTGATTTTGGGCCTTGTTAGGAATATGTATGGCGACCATTTGTAATCGTTAATAATTACACCTTTCTTCACGATCAAACGTGGATTTTAAACGATTTATTTGAGAATCTATCAGATGTTATGTTAAATATTTACAATATGTACAGTTTTTATGAAATCTTGTCAATTGTGCGATTTTCCAAGGAAGCAGGAATTTTTTTTATATTTTTAGAGGTTGCTGTTGCCGTAACATATGTTTCCATATGTCTCCCGTGGAAATAGGCGGCAAGCTCCAACAATTAGGTACAGTCGCCATGATCGTACAATCATCCGCACACGTTACGATCTCAATGCCATCTGGAAGGCTATGAATTCCGGAAAAGTAGAGGCAATACTTCAAAAAATTTCGGAGATTTTTAATGAAATTGCATCAGTTTTTTTAGAATTTTTTATTGTATTTAAATTTCACATCCTCCATTGAAAAAAAAAATTTTAGTACTATTCCATTTCATAAACCATGTTATGCCATATTTTTTTGCTTGCTCTCCTCCCCACTCGCTCCTTTGTTAATTAAGGTTTTTGTTATAATTCTCAGTATATTTCGAGTGTCAGTGATCCGATAATATCTGTTTAATTTGTTGTTGATTTATTTGTTTGTTTTTTTTTTTCATTTAGAAATGGCGTGACGTGTTTACTCGTATTGACGATCGTTACTTTTTTTAAGTTTTATTTCAACCAATCACTTCCAACAACGTTTAAACAAGCGATTTGGTTTCTGCTGTTTTTTTCACACGTCAGTGAGTAGTGATTGGGGCACGAGGGTTTTTTGCATTCGAGCTTAAATGCCAAAACCACCAAAGTGAGATAGATATTCAATACATAACGCTTTTGTATTTAAATTGTGGTTATTGGGTCATTTTTCACATGGGGAATCGATTTGAAAGTTCTGATCTTTTCAAGGTCACTCATGATTGGCAAATTTTGGATAGTAAAAGATGGGGTTTTTAGATATCATTTGAGATTTTCATTCAATTTAAATGCATTTGAGATTTGAGCTTTAACGGTTAATTACTAAAATTTACTAAAAATAAAAAAAAAAACTGTTTTTTTATTCACAACTTTTACACATGTTTGCTTGAATTTTTTTTTTGTGTCCAGCCGTTACCAGAAACCAGTTTTTATTTTTTTCAAATCATTTCCGAAAACAAAAGTTCAGCCATCCTCTGTGAATGTGCGTCTCTGTTTTGCATATTTCGAAAGTATTTTCCATGTATTATGTCATTGACCTTACATCGTTTTTTTTGCTTGCGAATTTTAATGATGCTGCTGCCTGCAGCCGATGACGCTGATTTGTATATATGAATCATCTATGAAATAGTTTGAAATTCCACTTTTCGCAGTATTTGTATATTTTAGGGGGGGATTCCGTCTAAATGTTTGTTTATTTTTGCAAAGATGTAGACCAATATTGAAAACAAATATGCAAAAATGCTTTCTGTGTTTTTGTGAATTTTAAAGAATGATTTTTTAAGTTTATCTGCCACTGAGGAATTTTAAAATATATTTTTCAAAAGACCAGAAATGAGCAGGGATTTTTATACCCTACACCACAAGGTGGTCAGGGTATTATGTCTTTGTGCATTTGTTTGTAACAGGCAGAAGGAAAGGAGATAGACCCATAGTTCCTTTTGGTGATCTGCATAGAAGCACATTCTGAGTCGATTTATGCATGTCCATCCGTCCGTCTGTCCATGTATTTTTGTAAACAAAGTACAGGTCGCATTTATTGCCCGATCCAGATGAAATTTTGCACAGATCATTTGTTTGGCCCACGGACGAACCCTATTGAAATTGGAAATAATCGGTCAAAATTTAGATATAGCTCCCATATATAACTTCGTCCGATTTGCCTTGTATTGTGCACCAAACGTGTAATATCAGCCCGAATTGTATGGAATTTTGCATATTCACCCAAATTAGGTCTGAAAATATGTATGCCAAATTTGATCGAAATCGGTTCAGATATAACTATAGCTCCCATATA